TGGTCACTGGCCCCAAGGGGTCTTTCATATGTGATGTCTTCGATATCTGCACTACTGAAGGTGAATACTAAGTCCAGCCTTGCTGGTTCATCCTCTCCCCTCCTCTTGTAGTGTCCCTTACGTGTTGGTACATGAAGTTCTCCAGTACCACCTCCATCATCTTAGCCCTCCAAGTATCTTGGCCCCCATGTGGGTCCAAGTTCTCCCAATCTATCTCCTTGTGTTAAAGTCACCCATGATCAGGAGCTTTGCCCTGCATGCATGAGCTCTTCTGGCCACTCTAGCCAGTGTGTCAACCATCGCTCTATTGCTCTCGTCGTACTCTTGCCTTGGCCTCCTGCTGTTCTGTGGTGGGTTATACATCACTGCTAATTACCACCTTGGGACCTCCAGAGTGAAGTGTTTTCCCACTATGTAATCACTTTCTTCTCCGCTATCTTCTCTCTCCAGCTCATCAAATTCCAGCGATTTTTGATCAGCAACGCCACTCCTCCACCCCCCCTGTTCCTCTGTCTTTCCTCAGGATTTGGTATCCCGTTGGAAAGATGGCATCTGTTATCATACCTGTAAGCTTGGTTTCTGTGAGAGCTATGATGTCCGGTGATGCTTCTTTGACTCTTTCTTGCCACTCCTCCCACTTATTTGTTATTCCATCAGCGTTTGTGTACCATACCTGTGTGTGTGTGTGTGTGTGTGTGTGTGTGTGTGTGTGTGTGTGTGTGTGTGTGTGTGTGTACTCACCTAGTTGTGGTTGCAGGGGTCGTGTGTGTGTGTGTGTGTGTGTGTGTGTGTGTGTGTGTACTCACCTAGTTGTGGTTGCAGGGGTCGTATGTGTGTGTGTGTGTGTGTGTGTGTGTGTGTGTGTGAGAGAGAGAGAAACAACACAGCAGCAGCATCATGTGAGGAGAGATGGCTACACAGAGGGTTCTGTGACAGGTAAGGATAATGCAGGCAGGTTAATCCAGTAAATCCTGCTTCAATTTTTGTATGATGAATGATAGCTAATAAATATCTGTTTGTGTATATGAGAGAGAGAGAGAGAGAGAGAGAGAGAGAGAGAGAGAGAGAGAGAGAGAGAGAGAGAGAGAGAGAGAGAGAGAGAGAGAGAGAGAGAGAGAGAGAGAGGGATACCTAGTGCTTGTATAACCAAGACCAGGAGCTGCTGCTTGCGTAAACAAGAGCCAGACACCTGTATTTTTAAATAGAAGAAAATTCAAGATTATTCTACCTCACCAAAATCCTTCAAACAACACAAATTACCCACAGAACGAGTGTGACTGGAACCCACAGCAAGACTGTTCTAAAACACGCAAGGGTTTCGATCCCACCCGTTCTGTGATTCGTATGAAATCGTGTTATTACCATTTCGTGAGTCAAAGCATCACATTTCCCACTAAGCATCTCACAACCCAAATTCATTTGTAGATAAATGGTTCAGAGAACTGACAAGTTGACAAATTAGACACATGTGCAACACTTGGGTATCTTTATTGAGGTAACGTTTCGCCCCACAGTGGCTTCATCAGTCCAATATCATTTATCTACATCTTTGTCGGACACAGCAACATCTTGGGATCTTGATACAGTCATGACCTACTTCCACCTGTGGATTTGTCCAAGGTGATGCCGCCTACAACTGCTTCACCTCGCTTGTCTACAGTATATAAGCCCCTTTCTCGCTCAAGGAAAAATGAAATGGTTATAATCGTAACTATAATTTTTAAAGTGGTGGACTGGTAAGCCAGCGGAAGGCCTCGGTTGGATGACCAAAAGCTCCAGCTGCGAGTCACCATATGACTATTACCCGCGTCAGGAAACACTTGTCCTGTTTCCTGACGAACCTTGCCTAACCTAACCAGCATATGCTGCATTCTCATCAAGATTGATGGACTGATTGCATCGACTCAAGGCTGAGGGACTGATTACCTCAAACTCCTCCTGATCTTTACCATTCACTGTACTGGACTGATGAAGCCACTGTGTGGCGAAACGTTTTGACAATAGAAATTACGTCTCAACTTCTTCCACCCTCTCTAGGATTCTCTGTACTCAACTATTTGTGATTGCAGGGGTCGATTCACAGCTCCTGGCCCCGTGCTGGACTGATAGACTGGTGGGCGAAACATCTCCACAGTAAGATACCCAAGTGTTACACCTGTGTCTTGTTAAGAAGAGAGGATGTACTGGGGGGGAGGGAACTAGGAGTGATGTACTGGAGAGGGAACTAGGAGTGATGCACTGGAGAAGGAACTAGGAGTGATGCACTGGAGAGGGAACTAGGAGTGATGCACTGGAGAGGGAACTAGGAGTGATGCATTGGAGAGGGAACTAGGAGTGATGCACTGGAGAGGGAACTAGGAGTGATGCACTGGAGAGGGAACTAGGAGTGATGCACTGGAGAGGGAACTAGGAGCGATGCACTGGAGAGGGAACTAGGAGTGATGCACTGGAGAGGGAACTAGGAGTGATGCACTGGAGAGGGAACTAGGAGTGATGTACTGGAGAGAGAACTAGGAGTGATGTACTGGAGAGAGAACTAGGAGTGATGTACTGGAGAGAGAACTAGGAGTGATGTACTGGAGAGAGAACTAGGAGTGATGTACTGGAGAGAGAACTAGGAGTGATGTACTGGAGAAGAAACTTCAAAGATACGAGAAATATCTTTCTAGATAAGATCTTGTTTGGATTTTTAACCCCGGAGGGTTAGCCACCCAAGACAACCCGGAAAGTTAGTGCGTCACCGAGGACTATGTCTTATTTCCATTGTAGTCTTTCAATCTTGTCCCCCAGGATGCCACCCACACCAGTCCAATAACACCCAGGTACCTACTTGCTTTCTAGGTGAAAGGGACATGTGTAACGGAACACGCATAATGTTTCCACCCTTGCCGGGGATCGAACCACGGACACTGTGTATGAAGCGAGAGCGTTGCCAACCAGGCCACAGGATACAGACTTACTACTACCTACCTGGGTGTGGGTGGGTGTGAGTTGGACCTCCCTAGCATGGGCCAGTAGGTGACTTGGACCTGACTAGCTTAGGCCAGTAGGTGACTTGGACCAGAGTACCTTAAGCCAGTAGATAATTTCGACCTGACTAGCTTAGGCCAGTAGGTGACTTTCACCTGACTAGCTTAGGCCAGTAGGTGAGTTTCACCTGACCAGCTAAGGCCGGTAGATGATTTGGACCTGACTAGCTTAGGCCAGTAGGTGACTCACCTGACTAGCTTAGGTCAGTAGGCGAGTTTCACCTGACCAGCTTAGGCCAGTAGATGGTTTGGACCTGATTAGCTTAAGCCATTAGATTTGGACTTGGCTAGCTTAGGCAAGTAGATGATTTGGACCTGACTAGCTTAGGCCAGTAGATGATTTGGACATGACTAGCTTAGGCCAGTAGATGATTTGGACATGACTAGTTTAGGCTAGTAGATGATTTGGACCTGACTAGCTTAGGCCAGTAGATGATTTGGACTTGACTATCTTAGGCCAGTAGATGATCTGGACCTAACTAGCTTAGGCCAGTAGGTGACTTGGACCTGACTATCTTAGGCCAGTAGATGATCTGGACCTAACTAGCTTAGGCCAGTAGGTGACTTGGACCTAACTAGCTTAGGTCAGTAGGTGAGTTTCACCTGACCAGCTTAGGCCAGTAGATGATTTGGACCTGACTAGCTGAGGCCAGTAGATAATTTGGACCTGACTAGCTGAGGCCAGTAGATAATTTGGACCTGACTTGCTTAGGCCAGTAGATGATTTGCACCTGACTAGCTTAAGCCAGTAGGTGACTTTCACCTGACTAGCTTGGGTCAGTAGGTGAGTTTCACCTGACCAGCTTAGGCCAGTAGATGATTTGTACCTGACTAGCTTAGGCCAGTAGATGATTTGGACCTGACTAGCTTAGGCCAGTAGATGATTCGGACCTGACTAGCTTAGGCCAGTAGATGAATTGGACCTGACTAGCTTAAGCCAGTAGATGATTTGGACCTGACTAGCTTAGGCCAGCAGATGAATTGGACCTGACTAGCTTAGGCCAGTAGATGATTTGGACCTGACTAGCATAGGCCAGTAGGTGACTTAGACCTGACTAGCATAGGCCAATCGGCCTGCTGCGGTGCTCCTTGTTCTTATGGAGTCATCCGAGTGTGTTCCGGGGGTCAACGCCTCATAGGCCTACTACCAAACTAGTGCATTCCCTTGGATGCCCTGATGAGCCAGGCTGTTGGTGCTAGCCCCACGAAGTACAGAGTTCAACTTAAGGAAAAGAACTAATGCATTTTTCTCCTAAAATGAAAACACTCCATTTAAATTTTTTTCTAAATACGAAGAAAAAAAATATATGAAACGTATTTTTTAATTTACAAAAACAAATAAGGACAAAAAAAAATTGAGAAAAAAATTTATTTAATTAAGACAGACCAAAAGTATCGATCTTCCAAAGTTTCAAATAGGTTAATGTAAATAGGTAATATTAAATAGACTATTGTAAATAGATAATTATAAATAGGTACTTGTAGATAACTGAAAATAGGTAATAAATAGGTACTTATAAGTAATAAACAGGTACTTGTAAACAGGTAATAGCTACTTGTAAAAGGTAACTGTAAACAGGTAATAGGTACTTGTAAATAATAAATAGCTACTTGTAAAAGGTAATTGTAAATAGGTAATAAGTACTTGTAAATAGGTAATGAACAGGTACTTGTAAATAGGTACTAAACAGGTATTTGTAAATAGGTACTAAATAGGTCTTTGTAAATAGGTACTAAATAGGTATTTGTAAATAGGTACTAAATAGGCATTTGTAAATAGGTACTAAATAGGTATTTGTAAATAGGTACTTGTGAAGTGATAGGTACTAGTGAAGAGGTGATAAATAGGTACTTGAAAATAGGTAATAAATAGGTACTTGAAAATAGGTAATAAATAGGTACTTGAAAATAGGTAATAAATAGGTACTTGAAAATAGGTACTTGTACTATGTAGAAGGACATGTGACTCACCTACGACGTCAAGGCTGACAATGAAGCTGAGGACAGGCTTGGCTGACACCTGACACTCGTACATGCCAGCATCCTCCTGCTTCACCTTCTCAATGGTCAGCACCCACTCCTGACGACCCTCCTCCCATCTCACGGACACCCTCTCGTCCGTGCTGTACTTGTACTTGCCGACGGACAGGATGTGCAGGTCCTCGTGCCTCATCCACGACACCTGCCGAATGCAAGATGACTCTTAAACCTCATAGTAGAGCGCTAAAACCGTGCGGGGGTCATTAATCGTTGTCAATAAAGGATCACATTGTGGCCCGGTGGTCTGGTGGCTAAAGCTCCCGCTTCACACACGGAGGGCCCGGGTTCGATTCCCGGCGGGTGGAAACATTTGACACGTTTCCTTACACCTGTTGTCCTGTTCACCTAGCAGCAAATAGGTACCTGGGTGTTAGTCGACTGGTGTGGGTCGCATCCTGTGGGACAAGATTAAGGACCACAATGGAAATAAGTTAGACAGTCCTCGATGACGCACTGACTTTCTTGGGTTATCCTGGGTGGCTAACCCTCCGGGGTTAAAAATCCGAACGAAATCTTATCTCTTATCTTATCTTACTGCTGTTGTGTTTATTTTTCGAGGCTAGGACCCTGGGTGGCTTTAAAAAGAGATTGGATAAATATATGAGTGGGAGGGATTGGGTTTGAGTGGTGTCGTGGGTACGGAACTAAATTCTCGGGTAGCTTCGGGAAATTGTGGTTTCGATTAAGACAAATAAGAATGGTTTAGGACTGATGAAGTCAATGTGTGGCGAAACGTTTCCTCAATAAAGATACCCAAGTGCTGCACATGTGTCTAATTTATCAACTTGTCGGTTCTCTGACCCATTCGTCTACATCAGAATGTTTGCAAACTCAACACACGACAACTCTTCTCGACGCCCTGACAGCCAGCAACGCTGACTCTGGTCTCGACATATACGCAGACAGGACCAAAATCTCGTGTTACAATATCTGCACTAACAATCTGCCGCCTATGTTCGTGTGCCTTTTACGTGCTTCCTATAAAGAAGGTTTAATGTGGGTACTTAACTTGATAGTTTGTGAATTATGCTGTCCTAAAAGAACAATACACATCGTCCAGTTCACTAAACTTGGTGGACTGAATACATCGACTCAAAACTGAAGGCCTAATTGCCTCAAACTCATCTTCTACCATTCATCTTCGTGACGGACTGAGGAAGTAGTTTGGTTGGTAACGCATTCATCTCACACATCGAGTGTCCGTGGTTCGATCCCCGATACGGGGGGAACACTGGGCGTGTTTCCTTGACACACCTGCTGTTCCTATTCACCTAGCAGTAAGTAGGTACCTGGGTGTTAGCCGACTGGTGTGGATCGCATCCTGGGGACAAAATTAACCTAAGTTGCGGGAAATGCTCTGCATAACTAGGGACTTTCTATATAGTATGTCACTGATATCAGCTATGGTCTGTATAAGTTGTATCATGTACTTGCAGAAATATTACCACTCCATGTAGGTAACGAATTTCCTACCAGGTTCCTTTCCCATTAAATCTATCCCACACGAGGCCTCAATGGTACCAGGAAAAATGGAAATTGCAGTGGTACTCCCCAAGAGTTAGAGCAATTTGAAGACCTTAATTAAAGTACCTAGTTCGACGTCTGGCAATCCTTGGGTCGTGGTATTTATCCAGGTGACCTTCAACCACCCAGTAATGAGGGAACTGTTACCGGGACACTTAAAATCCCATAGAATGTAATAATTTTGACAAAGTTCATGGAGAGCGAAACGTTGCCACAATAAAATGTTACATTAGTTGCACTGTGTCCCTGTTTACCTTAACAAATCCCATGCATGGCAAATTTAACACACGTTGTTAATGGTGTAGGCTCGGTTATGATTTGCTGACCGGGCCTCCAGAAACAGTGCGTATCCAGGGAGGGTGCGCATGTGTACAGCAAGTGTGCGCATGTGTACAGCAATGTGTGGCATGTATACATGCAAGTGTGCGCATGTGTACAGCGAGGGTTGCGCATGTGACAGCCAAGTGTGCGCAGAGGTACAAGCGAGGGTGCGAATGTAGTACAGCGAGGAGGCGAATTGTTGTATACAGCGAGGGCTGTGTCATTTGTACAGCGAGGGTGCGCATGTTCCTTACAGGAGGGTGCCATGTGTACAGCAAGTGTGGCAGTGTGTACAGCGAGGGCGCGCAGTACAGCGAGGGCGCGCAGTGTACAGGAGGGTGCGCATGTGTAACAGCGAGGTTGCGCATGTTTACCAGCGAGGGCGCGCGTGTACAGCGAGGGACGCGCATGTGTACACGAGGTGCGATGGTACAGCGAGGGTGCGCATGGTTTACCAGCGAGGGTGCGCATGTGTACAGCGAGGGTGCGACTGGTACAGCGAGGGTGCGCAGTGTTACAGCGAGGGCGCGCATGTACAAGCGAGGGTGCGCATGTTTACAAGCGAGGGTGTCGCATGTTTACAGCGAGGGTGCGCAAGTGTACAGCGAGGGCGGCAGTGTACAGCCGAGGGTAACGCATGTGTACAGCGAGGGCGCGCAGTGTACAGCTGAGGGTGCGCATGTGTACAGCGAGGGTGTGCAGTGTACAGCGAGGTGCGCATGTGTAAGACCGAAGGGTTGCGCAGTGTACAGCGAGGGTGGCGCATGTGTACACGAGGGCGCGCAGTGTACAGCGAGGGTGTCGCAGTGTACCAGAGGAGTGCGCATGTTGTACAACGAGGGTGCGCATGTGTACAGCGAAGGCGCGCAGTGTACAACGAGGGTGCGCATGTGTACAGCGAGGGCGCGCAGTGTACAGCGAGGGTGCGCAGTGTACAGCGAGGGTGCGCATGTGTACAACGAGGGTGCGCAGTGTACAGCGAGGGTGCGCAGTGTACAGCGAGGGCGCGCAGTGTACAGCGAGGGCGCGCAGTGTACAGCGAGGGTGCGCATGTGTACAGCGAGGGTGCGCATGTGTACAACGAGGGTGCGCATGTGTACAACGAGGGTGCGCAGTGTACAGCGAGGGTGCGCATGTGTACAGCGAGGGCGCGCAGTGTACAGCGAGGGCGCGCAGTGTACAGCGAGGGTGCGCATGTGTACAGCGAGGGTGCGCATGTGTACAGCGAGGGTGCGCATGTGTACAACGAGGGTGCGCAGTGTACAGCGAGGGTGCGCATGTGTACAACGAGGGCGCGCAGTGTACAGCGAGGGTGCGCATGTGTACAGCGAGGGTGCGCATGTGTACAACGAGGGTGCGCATGTTACAGCTCCGAATCCTTACTCAAGGTTAAGGTCAATTACAGAATATTTCCTCCCAGGTCCATTAACTATTCCTCGTCAAGAAACCAAAATTAAATGAACATATATACGACAAAATTTGGCAGTAGTGGGGCTCACAGTGGTAAATTAACACATGTACAACACTTCGTTATCATTACTGTGTAAACTTTTCGCTACACAGTGACTTCATCAGTCCAATACAAAGAATGGTGGAGATCAGAAGGAGTTTGAGGTACTCAGTCCCTCAACCTGGAGTTGATGTAATCAGTCCATCATTTTATCAATTTCGAGGGACTGATTACTTAAACTCTTGATCTTCACCACTCTTTGTATTGGACTGATGAAGCCACTGTGTGGCAAAACGTTTCCCCAACAAAGATACCCAAGTGTTGCACATGTGTTTAATTTATCAACTTGTCGGTTCTCCGAACCATTTATCTAGAGAGCGCAATGTGACATGAATACGTAATAAACGGATTCAGACATTAATTCTCAATAATTAACGATGTAACTATGGAGATAAATGGTATAAAACAAATGCAGTATAATGGGTCGCTGAAACGTTTTCTATTATATCTTAGTGTTTGCTTACGAGTTTTTCTAAACCAAAACGTGACTTAATAGCCCAGGACAGACCAAAACGTTGTCTTCTTTCCAGATTCACTTTGTAGATTAGTTGATAAACTAGATATATGTACAACACAACCCAAGTGTTGCACATGTGTCTAATTTATTAACTTGACGGTTCTCTGGACCTTCTATCAACATTCTTGTAGATTAGTTACAGATTGTGGACTCAGATTAAGTCGTAATAAACGACTGAAAATGAATAAACATAAGATTGGATGAGAGGGTCGACCATGGTTCGAACCTCTCGTCCACGCTTCTGTTTGTTGATAGTGTGTTTAAAATCTATATTAATTCAGAGGAGTTACTACTTACTGACTTCTCGGCGCTGTCAAGTACCCTGCAGGCCAGCTCGGCGGTCTTGCCCGTCTGTACTGTCACCTTCCTGGGAAGAGTCCTGTCAAATCTTGGTCCTATCGAGGTACTCTCTACTTGACGTCCTCCAAGGGGATCATCTTTCTCGATTTCATGAGACGCACTTCTGGACCACTGTGAGCTGGAACTCTCAACATTACCGTAGACAACGTCGTTAGAACCAGAGTAAATACCGGCAGAGTAAACACTGCCAGTATAAACACCGCCAGTGTAAGCACCACTGGGGTTAGTATTACCAGGATACATTACACTGGAAGGAATACTTCCAGTGTAAACACCGCCCGTGTAAGCACCACTGGGGTTAGTATTACCAGGGTACACAACACTGGAAGGAACACTTCCAGGGTAAATCCCGCCAGTGGAAATACCAACTGTAGATGCACCATTGTTAATGCTGCCAGTGTAAACACCACTGGGAACGATATTATCAGCAGATTTGGACTCCACCTGAGAGTCCAGATTTTGTGACTGGTGGTTCTGGTTTGAGTAATACTGGTATTGAAACTTCGAATCTTGCGGATGCTGACCATTATAATACTGACCCTCGACTTTGTGACCATTGGCGTTCAAGCGCTGGTACTGCTGATAATTGAATTTCTGTCCAAGATATTGCTGGTTTTCGAAATACTCTCCGCGAAATTTGTGGTCCTCCTGGTAAATCTGCGGGTTGTACTTGTGACCCAGGGAGGTGTGGTCTTGATAACCGTGAGGTCCCTGGGACTGCCCATACTGGGAGTTAAGTGGATGGGGGTGAGGCTGGAGGTGTTCTGGGGACTGACTATATTGGTAGTGCGGTTGATAGAGTCTCTGGTGCTGATAATGGAACTCTTCGTTATTGCTGGGAGACTTCTTGGGCCGAAGGATTTCCTCCAGGTAGGCTGGCGGGATCTCCAGCGAGGTGAGGACATTGGGCAGGCGGGAGGCTTTAGCTGGACTTCCAGTAGAGGAAGTGGAGGCAGGAACGTGTTTGGGAATGTAATCCACCTCATCCGAGTCACTGGCGATCTGATACCCAGCCGTCATTCCTGAAACAACACCAATAATCAGTCTTGTTACATGAACACAGATTTCTGAAGTGTAATGAACACTGGTCGGTGCTCAATAATAATCCAGAAGGGGATAGAAATATACACGTGGGTTATTACTGAGCACAAAGTTCTGAATATAAAGGTAATGAATCTTGTTACATGAATACAGAGTTCTGATTATAGAATAGAAGTTACAATACCGTGGCCAAAACAGTTCACCAAAAATACGCGTTTAGGAGAAGAACCTGGTGAGTGAAGCTTGTTGTGGTGGTAGTGATGGTGTTAGTGTTTGTGATGGTGAATACTGAGGCAGTAGTGATGGTGTCAATGATTGTGATAATTACAGCTGAGGAAGGAGATCAAAATAAGGAATTACAGAATGTACAGCAATGTACACTACGTACCACAAAATTTTTTCTCACCAGAGTTAATGTAAATAATTATATTTAGAAAACAAAAAGCCAGTAATAATGTGTTAGTTATCTAACGAGGCTTCACGTAAACATGTGTTAGTTATCTAACGAGGCTTCACGTAAACATGTGTTAGTTATCTAACGAGGCTTCACGTAAACATGTGTTAGTTATCTAACGAGGCTTCACGTAAACATGTGTTAGTTATCTAACGAGGCTTCACGTAAACATGTGTTAGTTATCTAACGAGGCTTCACAAAAACATGTGTTAGTTATCTAACGAGGCTTCACGTAAACATGTGTTAGTTATCTAACGAGGCTTCACGTAAACATGTGTTAGTTATCTAACGAGGCTTCACGTAAACATGTGTTAGTTATCTAACGAGGCTTCACGTAAACATGTGTTAGTTATCTAACGAGGCTTCACATAAACATGTGTTAGTTATCTAACGAGGCTTCACGTAAACATGTGTTAGTTATCTAACGAGGCTTCACGTAAACATGTGTTCGTTATCTAACGAGGCTTCACGTAAACATGTGTTAGTTATCTAACGAGGCTTCACGTAAACATGTGTTAGTTATCTAACGAGGCTTCACGTAAACATGTGTTAGTTATCTAACGAGGCTTCACATAAACATGTGTTAGTTATCTAACGAGGCTTCACATACACCCAAGTTCAGAACTTAGTCCCATTCTCTCTCTCTCTCTCTCTCTCTCTCTCTCTCTCCTGGATACAGTTATCAAGACAGGCAACAAACAGTATTAAGTGCTGGTTGTAGCGCACTCACGCTAAACATTGTGGGTCGGTGGTTCGATTACCTTTAGAGTGAAAACTTGGCATTTTTCTCTTCACCTGCTGGACCCTTGTTCAACTGCAGTAAGTAGGTACCTGGGTGTTAGTCACCCTACACCTGTAATTGTTCACCTAGCAATAGGTAGGTACCTTGGTGTTAGTCATCTTACACCTGCTGCCCCCTGTTCACCTGGCAGTAAGTAGGTACCTGGTGTAAGTCACCCTACACCTGCTGTAATTGTTCACCTAGCAATAGGTAGGTGCCTGGGTGTCAGTCACCTTACACCAGTTGTCCCTGTTTACCTAGCAGTAAGTAGGTACCTAGATAAATCTGATAGACAGTATCAATACATCTATCGATATTTCCCCTCAACTTTTCCCCTAGAAATGAACCAAGAGAACGAGGGAAGGGAAAAAATAATAGAAATTTCCCCGCTTCAGATGCTCTAATCTTTTCTGAAGAGTTTCGCTGCTGACTGAGAGTTAATGAGGCAAGTTCCAACAATATTTTTTTTAACTTAGAGAAGCAAACGCAAGTCTTTGAAAAAAAAAATTCTTCCACTCTCTTTGCTATTCAAATTCCTTCATTTATATTGGAATGGATGTGAGCGAAGTTTTTGCGGCCGTTTACCACAAATTATCGTTCGGTTCAACCTGTTTCTAAAATTTTTGTTCTGGTTTTTTTAACGTTTTAGTTGAGTTTTGTTATGTATCGTTTAGTTGTCTATTTATTATTGTGTTTCTACGTGAAAAATGTTAAATGGCAGATATGAACGAGTACATGGGAGTACATGAGAGGACACAGGATTACTTGGAATTAAATGAACGTACGTGGGAGTATATGGGAGTACATAGAAGTACATGGAATTATATGGGAGTACAAATGGATTCATGGAATTAGATGGAAGTAGGTGGGTGTATATGGGAGTACATGGGATTATATGGGGGTACATGGAAGTACATGGGAATACATGGAAGTATAAGAGAGTACATAGTACATGGAGAATACATGGAAGTACATAGTACAGTGAATTATATGTACTCCTATACTCCTATGTACATAGTACATAGGAGTACAGGAGTACATTGAATTATATGGGAGTACATGGAAGTTCATGGGATTATATGGGAGCACATAGTACATGGGAGTACATATTCTCACCACCACTACAAGTGCTACAACTACGACTATCACCACTACTGTTACATCGACCACAACTAACACTACAACTATCACAGTCATCACCACAACTACTAACACTGCTAGTACATGTCCAGTCTATTATTATTATATTATTTATACAATTATTAATTATTTTATTATTGTATATCGCGATAAATTCCTGAGTGTCTGCCACAAAACTGTAACATGACTATCGCAAATGGCAGAATGGATGGGGTTCGAACCCTACAGCCATAATTTAACAGATACAAAGTCACTGGCTTAAAGACTTCAGTGGGCCGTCTGTTCCATGTATAAATCTGCCAGGTTATTTACCCACATTTATGTTGCACTTAATGCCATGGAGTTTCTGGTAATTTTTCCATACTGAATCACAAGCAGTGTGTGTGTCTGTCTTGCTTTTAGTGGATACAGGATAGAGCCTTCAACAGTCCTTGTACTTAATAACCACAAGGAATTAGACTAGAGGCTTTACACACACACACACACATATATATATATATATATATAATATATATATATATATATATATACAAGGAATTCGCGAGAGCATGCAAAATATACACAAACAGTGATCTCTGGCTGAAGGAGACTCGAACCTACGAACCTTAGGACAAGGTACGCAGTGCTTTACCAATCTACCCACACTGGACCAATACCTTGGCGTGTAGCATGAGCTACACGTTTGATCCAAGGCAGCCAGCTTTCAGGGAGAAGGCTTACAGCTTTTCATCTCATCCCCTGCCGAATAGGCAGAACTTGCGATCTTGGCTTAAATAGCAACGCTCATCTTGCCATATAGGACAAGTGAAAATTTGTGTATGCAATAATTTCGCAAAAATCATTCTGAACCTAACGAAAAAAATATATTTCACTGTGTTTGTTCAGTATTAAATTATTGTAAACAAATCTAAAATATGTTTAGTTGGGTTAGGCTAAAATAAATTGTTCTTGTTATAATAAGGTTAGGTAAGTTTTCTAAGTTCCTTTTGGTGCAAAATTATAAATTTTTACATCAACGTTAATGAAAAAAATATATCTTTAAAAGTATAAGAGAAAATTTTAGAAAGTACTTAATTTTAAATGAGTTCTTGCTAATTCACCAGTTTTACATATTCGGCACGACATTATATATATATATATATATTATATAATATATATATATATATATATATATATATATATATATATATATATATATATATATATAATGCACAGAAAAACAGCTACAAGGGTGACGAAATGATTCGTGAGAGAGAGAAGAGAGAGAGAGAGAGAGAGAGAGAGAGAGAGAGAGAGAGAGGGGAGAGAGAAGAGAGAGAGAGAGAGAGGAGAGAAGAAGAGAGAGAGAGAGAGAGAGAGAGAGAGAGAAAGAGAAAGAGAGAGAGAGAGAGAGAGAGAGAGAGAGAGAGAGCGACAGAGAGAGCGAGAGAAAGAGAGAGAGAGAGAGAGAGAGAGAGAGAGAGAGAGAGAGAGAGAGAGACAGAGAGAGAGACAGAGAGAGAGACAGAGACAGAGACAGACAGACAGAGAGAGAATGAACAAACTTATAACTAAGGAGCAGCACAGCATGAAAGATAGCAATAAAGTTCGCCCTATAATGTCATCTTCCAGCAGACTTCACCACAACACTGTACACAGACCTGGTACACAGTCCTGGTACACAGACCTGGTACACAGACCTGGTACACAGACCTGGTACACAGACCTGGTACACAGACCTGGTACACAGACCTGGTACACAGACCTGGTACACAGACCTGGTACACAGACCTGGTACACAGACCTGGTACACAGACCTGGTACACAGACCTGGTACACAGACCTGGTACACAGACCTGGTACACAGACCTGGTACACAGTCCTGGTACACAGACCTGGTACACAGACCTGGTAACACAGACCTGGTACACAGACCTGGTACACAGACCTGGTACACAGACCTGGTACACAGACCTGGTACACAGACCTGGTACACAGACCTGGTACACAGACCTGGTACACAGACCTGGTAAAACAGACCTGGTACACAGACCTTGTACACAGACCTGGTACACAGACCTGGTACACAGACCTGGTACACAATTCTATATGATAGTTACACAATGGTAACACCAGCAGTGTACTGCTATATGATAGTTACACAGTGGTAACACCAGCAGTGTACTGCTATATGATAGTTACACAGTGGTAACACCAGCAGTGTACTGCTATATGATAGTTACACAGTGGTAACACCAGCAGTGTACTGCTATATGATAGTTACACAGTGGTAACACCAGCAGTGTACTGCTATATGATAGTTACACAGTGGTAACACCAGCAGTGTACTGCTATATGATAGTTACACAGTGGTAATACCAGCAGTGTGCTGCTATATGATAGTTACACAGTGGTAACACCAGCAGTGTACTGCTATATGATAGTTACACAATGGTAACACCAGCAGTGTGCTGCTATATGATAGTTACACAATGGTAACACCAGCAGTGTACTGCTATATGATAGTTACACAGTGGTAACACCAGCAGTGTGCTGCTATATGATAGTTACACAGTGGTAACACCAGCATGTAAATGCTATAGATAGTTACACAATGGTAACACCAGCAGT